GGTCCTGGGGTCCAGTCGTGATTTTGTTCGCGATGTCGGGAATTGCATCGCACTGACGGATCTCAGGGGCGGGAGAGAGGAAGGCAAGGAGGGAGGGAAGAGGGAGGAGGGGGGAGGGAGGGAAGGCGGAGGTTTGGGGAAGGAGGGAGGGATGAAGGGTCAGATTACCATATACGCCCTCTGCCCGATTGGGGCCTCCAGCGGCCTCCTGGGGCCGTCGTCGCCGTCGTGATCGTCGTCGTCGCCCGCCTTGGCGGCGGAGGCTGACGGAGGCCTGCCGCGACCACCACACCTCCAGAATTTGGCCCTCGTGCCCGCGAAAACCAGGCCGGACGAAAGGGGGGGATGACTTGGAGGCAACGCCAAATCCCAATAGACTCGGCCAGCGCGCTCGATCCATTAATAGCAACCCTTACGACCCCCACTCGCGAGAAACTCCGATCTTAGGTTTGTTCTTACCGACAATAGGGTTGCTTAGGCTACTTCTACCCTACGAACACTACCCCCTCAACGAGTTTCAAAGGATGGCCAGGGGGAGCCAGGGAGGAAGAAAGACGGTGGAGCACAAGGACAGCCGAACCAAGTATATGATACCGCAAAGAACCCGATCAGAGTCTATCTTACATGATATCCTTTTTTGTGCTATAGGGTTATAGGGCTATAGGGCTACAGAGCCAGTGGGCTGTAGGTCTAAAAGGCTATCAGGCTATAGGGCTACAGGGCTATATGGAATATTGGGCTATAGGGCTGTAGGGCTATACGGCTATCGGGCTATAGGGCTATAGGGCTATAGGGCTACATGGCTACATGGCCATAGGGCTATAGGGCTATAGGGCTACAGGGCTATAGGGCGATAGAGCACCCGGGCACCCCCAGGCACCTGGGCACCTGGGCGCCCGGGCCGGCCACCGAAATCGGCAACGCACCTCACCTAACCATATGAATCCGCGAGGACCCCGACACATGCAAGCTCTGATTGGGGAATCTTTCCAAATCAGACAGGGGGAACTCTGAGGCCAGACCAAGGAAGGTGATGGCAAAGGAAGCGAAGGAGGAGGAGGGAAGACGAGGGAGGCAGAGACGGGGAGGGAGGGGGGGGAACTCCCCGGGCGGACGAAAGGGGGAGGATGTAGCACATGGGGAGACTCGCGAGTGGATGGCATGCGACTGTTTTTTGTTTTGGCCTTTCACTGCGCAAATAAACGCCGATGCGTCGAGGAGAGCGCAAGGCGGCGGGGCTGTCTCTGCAGGCTGGAGGGGAAGTGAAGAAAAGGGTACGTTAGTCGGCACCAGGACAGCGGGAGGCGCTCCTCGCAACGCCCGTCATAGGATGGGGCACCCAAGCCAAAGAGGCTAAGCACGGAGGGAACCTGGAGAGGACACTGGGAAGAGGGCCTCGAAGGGGGTGGGGGACAGCAACCCAAACTCTAGCATGCTTGGCCTCTCCTCAGCACCCGAGCCCCGCTCCCTCCCGTCCTCCTCCACCTGGAGGCGTCCGGCCTCGAACGTGATGTAGGCGGGACCTCTGCCTCCTCTGCTCTCCCTCTTCTCCTGATCCTCCTCCTCCTGCCTCCTATCCTCCTTCACCTTAGTACGAATCTGTTCCTTAGTCAATACAAGGGGAAACCCGATCACCCCTCTCGCATCGCGCCTGAGCTTCCTCCAACAAAGCCCGACGCGAGGCCCCACGAGACCGAGATTTCAGAGCCGCGTTCAACGATCGCTCATTCATGTGTCCGCACTCGCTTGCAAGACAAAGGGTGCCACGACATAACAGGTCGCGGAGAGCAAGGTCCCCCTTTCGCGGGGTCAGCATGCGTCAACGGGCCCACTGGCATCCTGCCGCGGGGGAGCCAACGGACCGCGGAGCCAATCCCACACAGCGAGCCCCCACCAACCGCCAGCTCCACGGAGTTCCGCCGGTCCGCCCGAGAACCCGCGGCGTTTAGTGACAAAGTGTCAAACGCACTCTTAGCGCCCACGATCGAGAGCGCGCTGGCCTCCTCCCCGAGAGAACACTCCTGGGACGTGATCACTGCGAAAGGCGAGGCAGCCGCGCACCTGTCGGGGCGAGGGGCGCCCCCGTGGACAGAATCCCCCCACGAAATCTGCACTGAGCCTCGGCGATGGCGCTGAGGCCACGACTCTCTTCAAACGTCGAGACCTCAATCACAATAGGCTCGCGCGAGATCTGATAGCACGTCGAATTCTGGCGTCGGCGGCGAGGGCAAGAAAGGCCCCCTGAGCGCCCCCCCGCTCGGCGCTCCCAGGACCTCCGGCGTCGGAGGGAGCAACGAGAACTAGCGAGTACGGATCCAGCCCCCAAATCGTCAGTCGCCGAGTAGCCGCCACCCTCCAATACCTGCATATGTTGATCAGCATCAACCCGTCGGGCACGGACGGGCCAGGCATCGCGGGAGCTAGCAAAGAGGCTCCGCCCACCAGGTCTGGGCGGGACTCGAGCAACAAACTGAACCTGGGCAGCCACAGCTATGCATGACCTTACCTCCGACGGGAGAGGGGGGTCCGCCGGGCACTCGCGGCGAGACATGCCCAGATGCAGGCGCGACAAGTGCCCCCTTATGTATTTGTCTTGGTCTATCGTGATCCCATCTGGGAACTGCCGAAAATGCCTGCCCCCAAAGTCCGCCTCAGTCTCCTTCCACTTCCCGAAGTGAAGTCGGGAAGTCAGTTCCTTGCACAACTACGGAGTGAACTCGTCGCGCCCAGCGACGATGAGATCGCCCATTTCAGTCGAGACTAGACCCTCTAACGACTTGAACTTGTCACGCCCAAGCCAGGCAGGGCCCCAGAAGGGACCTTGCGAACACAAGGGAGGCTGGATAGTCGGCGAGGGCCCTGCGCCACGGCTGAGGCGCGCCATATAAACCGTAGACGGGGGCAACGACCTCCATCAACTGATCCGATCCGACGGGGGGGCCTTGACAGGGCTCGACGTAGATCGCGCCGTTTGGGCGCCTTAGCTCCTCGCCCTGGCAGAACGCATTCCCACGTCAGCCACGTTAAGAATCCATCGAAACGAGGCAGCGATCTGGAGCACAATAAGAACGCTCTCGGTTTGTGGCGTCCGGGCGCACACCCTCAAGCTCTCTCCGCCGGGGCCCCGGCGACCGTGCACGCGCCACCTCGACTTCGCTACTGGCTTCTCGCCCACGTCGCCCACCGGCTTCCCGCGTCGGACCACGCGGGGCGAGAGCATTCTGCTGGGGCACCGACGCTTGACAGCTCGGGCCTCCTCGGCGGAGAGGACTTGCACGGCCCCTGAAGATACCGCCCTATTCCTCGAGGTCGGCCGACTCGAAGCCCCTACGTTCGTCGGGGGGGAATGCTTCCCAGCGAACCTCAGCCCCCCGGGGATTCGATCGGGCCGGGGAGCCTGCCAGGAAGGAGGGCCCCCAAGGCAGTCGGGACCACGCAAAAAAGGCGATTGAGAGCGGCCCCCAGCCAGCACGCCCCACCCCCGAAGCTCGGAGGGGAGACAGCGCCCTGTTCTTCATCGATCTCGCCCAAGAAATCCCACCCCACCTCCTCACGCGAACTCGACGGCTCGACATTAGAAGCCCCAGGCGTCTCAAAAAGATTATGCTCTTCTGCGGCTCGCTCGCCTGAACGGCCGCGGGCGCGAGCGGCCCCCCCGACCGGATCAGGCCCCCAGCCGCGGGAGACAACAGAGGCGGCGCGAGCCCTCGGCAGCGAAACACTGCGCCCAGACCCGACGCGCTCGGGCCTCGGAGCCCAGGTCGGAGTCGGGGCGGGAACGAGAGGAGAAGCCCCCGGAGACATGACAGACTCAAACTCCCTGATCCCCCGGGCAACCGTCGACTCGTGAGACCGCACTTCTTCAACCGGCGCGAGCCTTGGCCTCTGGCGCGGGGGTTCCTCCGTGCTTTCCTCGGG